GACCGTGCTAGAACCACGGGATTCGAGGGTGCCTAACACCTTCCCTCGGGTCAACAGAACTCCTTAGAATTTCTGGTTCGCAGACTTTATTTGGAAAAGTCGAAAATTTCCTCGATTTGGGATTCAAGATAAACCGGTGACTTGGGACACCAAAAGCCAAACCTTTCCCAAGTGGCAACTCTGAATTAAATAAATAATCCCATTTCAAATATTGTTACTTAAAATGAAAAAACTCCCTCGCGCATTTAAACCCTTCGGGGCGGGGCGCGCAAAAAGGAGGTGTGACAGCTAGTTCAGCAAATAAGCAGATGGCTCGATACCATCTACCTATCATTTTATGCAGGTGAAGTAAGAGCAAACTAGAGGGTTCACGTCTTTCTTTACGAGAAACTATATTTTCATGTCTTGCATTGCCACAACGTAAATGTGTTCTTTAATTGTATGAAGATTTTTTTTTGCGTCAAGTTGTATACATCTAGACTATTTCACTGAGTACGTGCTGTCTTTCAACTAGTATTTTTTGCCTTCGCTGGAGTTTTAACATGCGCCAAGAGCGTTCTAGGCATAGTTAATCACGAACAGCGCATATTAGCCTAACATGCGCCGAGAGCACCGAGCTTAGAGAGTTTGTTTCTAAATTATTCATTCATTTGGTATTTCTTCAATTGGTTTCCCTCTAGCTTCAATTCATTTGCCTTGTCTGCTATATATTTGGTTGAATCATATGGAGCTTAGTTTGAATTATGTCAAAGTTATAATATTATGATAGTGTCATGAAATAAAATTTTGTTTTATTTGTCTTGGTTTTGCTTTCCTATTTTATTTGTGGATAATTGTCTTTTTTCTAAAAAAATAAGAATAGCAGTTCAATGATTATGTGCCTTCGTTGTTCTCTATTCCTATGCTTGTGTTAGAAGGAATAAACAGGTTCTCTTGACTATGGTTTGGGATCTAAATCTCAAGTTTAAATTTAGAAACATAGCTTTTTATTTCTTTTCAAGTTGAGACTGTTATTCAATTCGCTTTCTTTCATCTTAACATTTTCCTTTTTTATGACTCTGCTAGCCTGGAACTCTCTGTGAGCCAAATAAAGTCATGTATATATAAGTCACATAAATATTAATAATACAGCGTTTGATTGTTAATATTAACCAAACACCGGACAAGTAATACCACATTTAATATCGAGATTAAATATCCTTATACCTCACACACTAAGTCTTTCTTATTCCAAGGACATATGCATAGGGGCAAATTAGACCTTCAAAAATTGTGACAAAAGGGGTGCGATTGGAATTAAAATCAACACATATTTCGTTTTAGCTCAACTCACGAAGACTATTCAACTATATTTTATCTGAAATTTACATTAACGCATATAAAGATGACCTCTGTTCTTAGTTGATTCGTCAAGTCATCCAAAATGGAAGCAAGCTAGCAAGTAGCAACTTAGAAAACCTTGACTTAAGCTAAAAACCACATAGTGGAATCTCCAATACTGCCATAGACTAGGGACAACCACAGTATCAATCAGCTCAACTCTTCTGTGGCTCTAGATTGATATGCACTGCTTTATTCAGTAATTTTTTCCACACATATTTAAAGCTAGTCTTTATTGGTCAAGTCATCTAAAACGAACAAAGTTTTGCCCCATTTTATCACGGCATTGATAATTTGATATGATAACTCGACTAATTTCGTTTTCGCAACCAATGTTGGAAAGTTACTGAGATGTTTCTCTTTTGTTTTCCAAAGAAAATTTTTGCTGTGTAGAGGTGCTGTAATTCCTATATATATAACCTTCTGGTAGCTAAGTTTATTAAAACAGCAAACTAAACTACAGTAACTGAAAATAAAGAATACATATATAATTGAAAAGAGCAAAAGTAGAGTACTACTAGTGGCCGGGATGAAGGATATGGGGAATATTAAGTTATGGTTGTGGGTGTTTTTTCTGATGATAATTGTGGCGAATGGTTGTTTGGATGAAGAGAGAAGTGCTCTTTTGGAGCTGCAGGCAGACATGATGAGTTCAAATGGCGGAACCTTATACGTTTGGGCTGGCTATAATGAGAGCGGTTTTGTAGATTATTGTTCTTGGCCTGGGGTAAAATGCAGCTTAGCAACAGGTCGAGTGATCAAACTCGATCTCATACAAGCAACGTATGGATCTATGGACGGTTGGAATTTTAATGCTTCTCTATTTCTTCCATTCAAATCGCTGCAAGTTCTTCATTTGTCTGCATATAGTATTACAGGGGGGACAAAAATCGAAGGTAGTTTTACCTGATCTTGTATTGGTATATATTGTTGACCACCTGAAACTATATAGTATATATATTAACATATTTTTCTGTTACTGATTTTGTTATCCAGGAATTGACAAGTTGTCGCATTTGACTAACCTGAAAGTGCTGGATTTGCAGTATAATCTCGTCCATCCAAATGTTTTATCATCTTTGTGTTGGATTTCTTCTCTTGAGGTTCTAAAACTAAGTGGTTTCACTTGGTGGAAAAATTACAATGTACATATAGGTAATTTTTGGGCTTCCAAAGGGATCACATTTAATTCCTTTTGTGAGAAATTACATTATGTATATAGTAAAAAACTACTAAATATTAATTATGTATGCAAATATATAGAAGTTATTGAATCCCCCTATAGTAACAAATAGTGATAAAGGTAACTCAAAAATAGGTTTAAGTTGCAAGTTTACATTTTAGTTGTGGCACTCTTATCATTTTCTGAGTCTCCTTGTTAAGATTTCTCTAGTTCTGTCAATAGGAAGCAACTTTTTGTAACATACAAACATATCATAGCATTATACTTTATCCTTCTACATTACTTTTCGTATATTTATTTAAAGGAATTTATTATGGGGACAAATTTTTTGGAAATGGTTACTGTATTTTTCAGGCGAAGGTAGTGCGAAATGTCCAGGCTTGAGCAACTTAAGGGTGCTCTTGTTGGAAGGTTATAGAATCAATGATATCAGTATTCTTTCTGCGTTGGGTAAACTTCTTTTTCCATAACAAATCATAGATGTTAATAAACTAGTCAGGTGTTTTTGTTTCTACCCTTAAATAATTTTAAAAATTCACAAATCAATGTAGGCCTTGGTACACATATTGGACTGAAGAAATTAGAGAAACTCTATCTGAGTGATAATAGCTTCAATTCCAGCATCTTTTCATCTCTGAAGGATCTTCCATCTCTCACGCATCTGGATCTCTCGTACAATGAAATAGATGGAAAAATTGAAATGAGTGGTTTGTCGTTAGTCTCACTCATTAATCATATGTACCTGTATCAAATACGTAAATGTTTTTTTTTTCTTTGTGCTAACTATTTTATTGATTTACCTCTGTAGATATAGTTGCTCTGAGCAATTTGAAATTTATGAATCTCCAAGGTAACAAATTTGAGAGCTTTGTGACTACCAAAGGTACGTAGTTGATAACTTGAAAGTTGGGCACCTCGGATAACAACATTTTAGTTATTCACCCTATAAAGGCATAAAAATAAAAGAATACAGTATTAGAATCGGTTTTTAGCATTTAACCTCCTTTTATGTTATGACTTCAGTTGTAATTTTATACCAGAAATAAGTGATGGTACATGTTTTTGTAAGTCTTAATAGGCGTTTTGGACATAAATTTCAATTTTTTTTTTTTGGGTAAACAAAAATTTGATTTTCACTAAAGTTTGATTCGAAGATGAAGTTGTGCAATTTGGTTACAACTTTTGCAATGCATTTGGATGTACTTTTTTCCTAAATCATGAAACATGATTTATACTCCACAATTTGTCAAAACTATCAAATTATCCCAACTTGACTATCTTACCTGAAACAAACAAGTAAACACATGTAACGCTTAAATGCACTCTAATTTTTTTGTTAAAAAAGATAGTGAAAGTCGATGAAACTGATATTTCAGAAGATGAAGAAAACATGATATTCACAATGTAGAATTGTGTTGACGAAGGTTTCTTATCTATTACCTTGATCTTCTTACTGTTTTAACTTAGTTATAATTTCTCTCAACTGTAGGCAGTAACAAAGAGAAGTGAGTGTTTAATGGTTAGCTTGGTATTTAATTCTAGTGGGTAGATGGGATGTCACGACCCGGATTTTCCACCATCGGGATCGTGATGGCGCCTAACTTTTAGGATGTTAGGCGAGCCAATAGATAACGATCTAACACGCTAATCACTAACCAAAATAGTAATTAGCAATAATTTAAACTAAACGAGTAAAAAATGTAGGAATTTTATAACAATCTAAACAGTAATACATGACTACCCAAAGATCTAGTGTCACAATCCACAAACGTCTAAGAGTTTCTACAAATACTGGTTTAAAGAAAATACATTTATTCTCGAAATGTAAGAAAACAGAAAAACTAAGATAGAAGGAAGGGGACTCCAGAGTCTGCGAATGCCGATAGATCTACCTTGGATCTCCTGATGGATTGAAGGCAGCAACCCAACTCTGATCAACGAGGTCCGGTACCGGAATCTGCACAGAAAGTGCAGAGTGCAATATCAGTACAACCGACCCCATGTACTGGTAAGTGCCGAGCCTAACATCGGTGAAGTAGTGACGAGGTTAGGACACAACGACAACATGAACCTGTGCAGTTAAATCATATACAAGAAAATAACAACAACAAAAACTTAACAGATAATAACGGGAAAGGGGGAAAATACACAAAGGGGGACATCAAATCCTGAAAATAGTAAAATACAAAAACACAGTAAATATCATGCTTTGAACCGCCGAAAATAATAACATAGCAAACATGTGCACGGCATCACCCTTCGTGCTTTTACTCTCGTCCTTACCATAAGAAACAACGGAAACGGCACGACATCACCCTTCGTGCATTAACTCTCTCATAACATGGCATGACATCACCCTTCATGCATTATCAATATCAGAATACGACACGACATCACCCTACGTGCATTATCACTCACAGAATACGACACAACATCACCCTTTGTGCATTAACACTCACTCACAATATCTTGCATGGCATCACCCTTCGTGCTTTACTCTCTTCCTCACCCAAACAACATAAATAATAACAATCTAGCAAGGGAATCATCAATGACCAACCTCATTTTTGCATTTAACTTCACAATATAAATCGCAACTTGAGTCAATACTCAACCAATATCCAATACCAGGAAAACATAATAAGACTTGTTTAACATGAAGAATAACCAGTTTAAGCATGAACATTACGTATAAAGAAATACAACAGTCACAAGTATAAGACTCACTCGCATGCTATGATCCGACAACAACGTATAGATACTCGTCACCTCACTTATACGTCGTACTCAACAACTAAACACGTAGAAAATAAGGTAACAACACCTAATCCCTCAAGCTAAGGTTAGCCACAAGACTTACCTCGATTCCACGGCCTAAAATCAAGCCTCAACAACCGCTTTTCCTCTAGATTCCACTTCCGAACAACTCGTCTCTAATCATAATTAACTTAATAATATCGATTATCGCTAAAGAAATCAATTCCAATGCATAATTACAAGTTTCCCAATATTTTTCCCAAAAAGTCAAAAACTGACCCCGGACCCGCTTGATCAAAACTCGAAGTTCAGACCAAAACCTGATTACCCATTCACCCCCGAACCCGAATATACAATTGGTTTTGGAATCCGACCTCAATTTGAGGTCTAAATCCCTAAATTTCGAAATTCCTAAGTTCTACCCAAAAACACCCAATTCCACCATGAAAAACCCTAGATTTTAAGATAAAATCTTGTAAAAAGATGAAATAGATTGAAAGAAATGAGTTAAGAATCATTTACCTATAATTTGGGGAAGAAATGGTCTTTGGAAAATCGCCTCTTGAGGTTTAGGCTTTGAAAATTGGGAGAATGAATGAAAAATCCCGTCCAAAATCATTTTTAAACAGTTGCAGATATCGCATTTGCAATCAGGGGTTCACAAATGCGAGCCCCGCAAATGCGAACATTCCATTGCAAATGCGAAGAATGTCCAGGACCTGCTACTATCTCAAATGCGAACACTTCTTCGCAAATGCGACATGTTCTTATCGCAAATGCGATACTGAGCTTTGCAATTGCGAAGGTCTCCTCCCAGCCCTTCTGATTGCAAATGCGAAACTTCTTCGCAAATGCGATGCTCGAATTGCGAGCCAGTATTCGCAAATGCGAAGTCTGCAGACCTGAAACATACCATCAATGTTTCCTTAAGTCCAAATCACTCTGTAGTCTATCCAAAACTCATCCGAGCCCTCGGGGCTCCAAACCAAATATGCACACAAGTCTTAAAACATCATACGAACTTGCTCGCGCGATCAAATCGCCAAAATAACACCTAGAACTATGAATTTAGCACCAAATTGCATGAAATTTTCAAGAAAGTTTCAAAACTTCTAACCTTTCAACCAAAGGTCAGAATCTCATCAAATAAACTCTATTTTCACCAAATTTCACAGTCATGACTTAAATATCATATTAAACCTGTACCGGGATCCGAAACCAAAATACGAACCTGATACCAACAAGATCACGCATTATATAATTTCTTTAAATTCTTATAATTCTAGTTTAACAATTTTTATCAAAAATCATTTCTCGGGCTAGGGACTTCGAAATTCGATTCCGAGCATACGCCCAGGTCCCATATTTTACTATGGACCCTTCGGGGCCGTCAAAATATGGGTCCGAGTCCGTTTACTAAAAATGTTGACCGAAGTCAACTAAAATCAACTTTTAAAGGCAAAAATTATTATTTTCTCAAATTTCCACATAAAGGCTTTTGGAATCGCACCCGGACTGCGCACGCAAATCGAGGAGAGATAAAATAAAATTTTTAAGGCCTCGAAACACAGATTCGAGTTCTAAAACAGAAGATGACCTTTTGGATCATCACATGAGGTCCTTTTATAAATTCCAAAAATTTGGGGTAAATTTTTAAAATTTAAAAGTTCCTAAGTCATAGATATTCAATGAAAAACTGGTCTCAAAGGACTTCTCCAAATTTGAAAATTCATTTTCAAGTTGAATTTAAGAAATAGTAAAATTTTCATAACCAAACATTGTTTTGAAAAAAAGAAAAAATATTTATTTCCAAAAAAAAAACCTTAGGCGTTTGGACATAAATTGTTGGATAATTTCAAAAAGGTAGTTGCACGACCCGAAATTCTCACCTTCAGGACATTTTTTGATGGCGCCTGTCACACCTCCTTTTTGCGCGCCCCGCCCCGAAGGGTAGAAATGCGCGAGGGGAGTTTTTCCAATTTAAGTGACAAGATTCGAAATGGGATTATTTATTTAATTCAGAGTCGCCACTTGGGAAAGGTTTGGCTTTTGGTGTCCCAAGTCACCGGTTTATCTTGAATCCCAAATCGAGGAAATTTTCGACTTTTCCAAATGAAGTCTGCGAACCAGAAATTCTAAGTAAGGAATTCTGTTGACCCGAGGGAAGGTGTTAGGCACCCTCGAATCCCGTGGTTCTAGCACGGTCGCTTAAATTGTTATAATGGCTAAATATCTGATTTAAATACATGTT